CAGTGGTTAGAGCAGGGGGCTGGGAGCCAGGACTCCTGGGTTCTATCCCCAGGTCTGGGAAGGGAGAGGGTCCTAGTGGTTAGAGGGGGGGAGTCCAAGGGCCCGGAGCAGCCAGGCCCCTGGGGAAGGGCTGGGGGGCCATCACATGGCCAGGGCTGGCTAGACGCCTGGCCAGGCCCCAGCCCCGGTGACCGGCCGACCCCAGATCCCCAGAGAGGACAGCCTGGGTTGCCCGGCTCTGTCCCAGCCCAGGGGCAAGCCCCCTTCCTCACCCTAATCGCCCCCCCGTTCTCAGCTTCCTCACGTGTCACCCCAAGATCTGCCAAGCGCTCCCGGGGGGAAGAGGGGGAAGCAGGATTCTGCGGTGTCCTGCACTCTGCTAAGCGGGGGCAATGCTGATGTATGCAGCTCTCTCCCCCGTGGGGCCCCACCCAGCCCTGGAGATGCACCCCCCATCCCATCCCATCCCATCCCCAGCTCAGCCCAGCGGCCTCGGCCGGCTCCTACCTGCCAGGTTCTCGCAGTGCCACGGCCGGCGTGGGAACCCGCTGGGGGAGATCTCAGCCGTCTGCCAATAGCCCTGCAGCGAGAGCCAAGCCCGTCAGGCTCCGGGTCGCCCGCCAGCACCAGGGGCGAGAGAGAACAGGTGCTGCCCCCTGCCAAACATCACCGCGCCCATGAAACCGGGGTGTGCGTGAGGGTCTGGATTGGTGGGTGGGGTGCCCAGGCCTGGGGTAGCAGGGGGCCATGGGTCGGGACTGAGGGGAACTGGCAGAGCTGGGGAGGGAGCCCAGGGCTGGGATGGCACGGAGCCGTGGGTTGGGACTGAGGGGCACCGGCAGAGCTGTGTATGGGGGGAGCCCAGAGCTGGGATGGCAGGGGGCAGTGGGTCAGGACTGAGGGGCACCGGTAGGCTGTGGGGGGGAGCCGAGGGCTGGATGGCACGGGCCGTGGGTAGGGACTGAGAGGAACCGGCAGGGCTGTGTATGGGGGGAGCCCAGGGCTGGGATGGCACGGGGCTGCGGGTCGGGACTGAGGGGCACCGGCAGAGCTGGAGAGGGAGACAGTTCTGAGCTTAGGGGGCAGAAGGCAGTGGGGGGGGGACCCTTGGGGGGACCCTCCCACTGCTGCCAGGCCCTAGCTCGGGGAGGACACTGGCAGAGCCCCACGGAGGGCAGCCTGGGTGCCGGAGCCGGGGCAGGCAGGGGCAGCTCCCTGAGGGCGCAGGGCTCACCAGAAACTTGCTGGCTGCGTCCCCGGGCAGGCTGGCAAAGGTGATCTGCAGGTCGAGGGGCAGCAGCAGGCTGAGCGCGTCCCGTGGGCCGTCCCGCTCCAGGAGCACGGCCGGGCGGCAGTCCACGAAGAGCGCCAGGCGGTGGGGCTGCAGGTCGACGGCCAGCCGGGCCCAGCGGCCCCGGGCGAAGGGGCTGCCTCCGGGGAAGAGCAGTGAGGCGGGCTCCATGCTGGGCCCGGCGCGGTAGTCCAGACGCAGCTGGTTGGCGCGGGCGCTGGACGCCAGCTGCAGCAGCGGGCGCCCGTCCCGCGCGGCGGCGGCTGGCGACACCAGGGAGATGAGGGTGCCCGCCGAGCCCCGGCTCTGCCTGGCCACGAAGTGGAAGCCCAGGGCGCCCTGCGAGCTGGCCAGCAGGTAGACGGCGTAGTCCCAGGGCAGCGTCAGGTGGGGCACCCGCTGGCGGAACTTCCAGGCCGGCACGCCCGGCTCGGGGCCCGCGGCCCTGCTGACACCCTGGACAGAGCGGGTGACGTTCAGCGCCTCCAGCAGGTCAATGACTGCGAAGCAAGCGGGGTGGGGGGTTAGCAATGCGGATCTCCCCCGCCCCCGCTTTCTCCCCAGCCCCCGCTCCCCCTCCGTCTGCAGAGCCGGCGGCCCAGGCAGGAGCCCCCAGTCCCCACTTTCATGCTGAGTCCCTGGCTGGACTGATGCCAAATCCCAAGGGGCCTGGAGCCGACCCTGAGCAAAGGGGAGCTGGGGACCCTCATGCCCCCAGCCAGCCATGGGCCGCTGGCCCTGTGCACGGCGACCCAGTGGGAGCCGAGAGGCAGAAGAAACGGGAAGGAAGAGCCACCCCCTCGCCCCATCCCCTCACCCCAGTGCGGGGCTGGGGCTGGATACTGGGGCCCCGGCACAGACCCCGCTGGGCTGGGGGGTGGATAGCTGGGGGGGTCGCCTGAGGATTCTCCCCGGCTGTCCCTGACAGCTCTGTGCAGCTGTGCTGGGGATGGCGCGCCAGGCCCTGGCCCACGGCCCAGCCAGGGGCTTTGTTCACGTGCGGCCTGCAGGAGCCTAGTGAGTGGGAGCCCTGCTGAGGAAGGTGGAGGGGGGCAGAGGGAATGGGAGGGCTGCCTGGAGGGCACTGGGAGGAGAGGCGGAGAGAGAGAGGCCTTGGATCTCACTGGGATTCACTCCGCCCCCCAGCCCAGCGGGGTCTGTGCCCGGGGATCCCCCACTCCCAGCCCAGTGGGATCCAGGCCCCAGGGCACCAGCAGCAGGATTCTCATCTCCTCCTGGCAGCCCTGCAGCTCTAGAGACCGGGGAACGCTACAGGCAGCCTGAGCCGTGCAGCCGATCAGTCCCTCTCGAGTGCAACCCCCAGGCACCAGGCCTGGCCTCCTGCCCTCGTACTGGGGGCCCCCGCATCCCAACCTCTCTCGGCCTGGGCCCCCGGCCTGCAGCCCCCTGCTGCCCAGCCGCGCTAGCCACACGGCCCCTGTGACGGTGCACTCCATATGGTGTTATGAAAATATGCTAATGAGTGTGAACATAACGTCACTGGAATATGCTTCATGCAAAAGGTCTCTTATAAGGTAGCATTACAAAGCTTATAATCTACTGAGTGTGATCATCCTATTTGTATGAATGTATCCACTCTAGTATCTGAAACTAGAAATATGAAATATAACTCTGAGGGCCTATTGTAATTATGCAAAGTGGGGGCCATTAATGGTGGTTTGGAATCTTGGTGGCTCCCATCAACCAGGACAATTGACTGTAGCTGGCTCTGTTTACTTGCAAGCCTTCCTGTGAGTCAGGCCAGGAAGAATGGAGGCTTAGAGTCTCGCAGGACATGTGACCATGTCACCTGGTACTGGAATCCATCTTAAACCTGGTGCTTTTCCATTTAGAAGGGGGGTGGGGACCCAAAGAGATGAAAGATTCCCGCCTTGTGCCAAAGGTATATAAGGGGGTGGAACAGAACAAAGGGGGCTGCAGTCATGAGAAATCCCCGAGCTACCACCTGAGCTGGAACAAGGGCTGTACCAGGGGAAAGGATTGGGCCCAGACTAGGAAGGAGTCTGGTCTGTGAAAGAAGCTCATTGGAACATCTCTGAGGGTGAGATTTACCTGTAATCAGTTTCTTAATGTATTAGGCTTAGATTTGCGTGTTTTGTTTTATTCTGCTTGGTAATTTACTTTGTTCTGTCTGTTATTACTTGGAACCACTTAAATCCTACTTTTTATGCTTAATAAAATCATTTTTGATTATTAATTAACCCAGAGTAAGTGATTAATACCTGGGGGAGCAAACAGCTGTGCATATCTCGCTAGCAGTGTTATAGAGGGCGGACAATTTATGAGTTTACCCTGTATAAGCTTTATACAGAGTAAAACGGATTTATTTGGGGTTTGGACCCCATTGGGAACTGGGTATCTGGGTGCTGGAGACAGGAGCACTTGCTAAGCCATTTTCAGTGAAGTCTGCAGCTTTGTGGGGACGTGGTTCAGACCTGGATCTGTGTTGCAGCAGGCTAGCGTGTCTGGCTCAATAAGGCAGGGTCCTGCAGTCCCAAGCTGGCAGGGAAAACGGGCTCAGAGGTAGTCTCAGCACATCAGGTGGCAGTCCCAAGGTGGTCTCTGTGACCTAACCCGTCACAGCCCTCTCCCCAGCTCTGTCCCAGTTGCCTCCGCCCGCTCGGAGCCGAGCCAGCGACAGCGTCAGCCACACGAGGTGCCCAGCACCGAGGCCTCACCGCCCGCACACCCCAGACGGCTGTCACCAGCTCCTCTCCGCCACGCGGCCCAACAGGGGCAGGGAGCAGTCGCCAGCTCCGGGCGGCTCCATCCTGCTCTGGCAGCGTGTGGAGCTCAGGCTCTGTGAGCGGGAAGCTGCAGCCCCGCTGGCTGTACCCCAAGCCCTGGGTGACGGGACAGCCGGCCGCCGGTGCCGGCGCGGCTCCATCAGCAGGCCGGCAGCGTTCCCGGACACGCTGGGTGGGGGGGCTCTGCCCGCTCCCTCCACCCACTGACCCACACCCGCCTGGACGGAGCTGGGGGAGGATTCCCCATCTGACAGCCCCCCTCATTTCGGTTTCCTGTGGGGCTCCCCCTTGGCACCCTCCCGGCTCCCGAGCGGGCTGAGACCACACCCCAGAGGGGAGGGGCTGTGACACATGTGACGCCCGCACCCCACCCTGAGCGGTTACCAGTGCCAACGAGCCCTGATGGGCGCCGCTCTGCAGCCTGTCTGTAGGGGGCACTGCAACACCTGTGCTAGCCCCAGCCCCTCCCTCACATTTCATGGCTGGGGGGGGGTGGGGGAGTTCTCCTGCACGCAACACTCCTGGTTCTGCCAGAGCGTACAAGCCAGCAGGGGGCGCGTCTACGTGTTTTGGGGGCATGTCACGGCACCACAGGGTGGGGGCCACACCCCAACTTCATACAGGCTCTTGGAGAACCCCCCAGTTTCTGGCCCTGTCTCGCTCTGCCTTCCCTAGGCAGTGCCAGGCACCCCACGCTGGGTGCTGGGACTGGGAACCAGCGGAGGGGCCCCAGGAGTGGGACTCGGGTAAAGCAAGAGTGGGGGGAGCAGCCGGCCCGGCAGACCCCCCACCGAGGGATCGCCAGGACTGGGGGTGCAACTCTTGTAGGGAATCAGGGCATCAGCGGGCAGGCTGCCCCAGGCTGGATGGCGCAGGGTTTGTGTGGGCAGAGGGGCTGTCCAGGCAGGGCTGATCCTTTGGAGGGAAGCAGGCACCCAGCCTCGGGGGCACAGAGGGTGGGGACAGACGGGCTCCCACTTCCGGTACCAGTACCCATGTCCTCTTGAACTCACCTGGGCTCAGACCCATCTGATCCCCAGAGGGAGCGGAAGGTTAATGGGGAGACATTGGTGGGGTGGCGGCCCGGAAGAAGGTGGGTTCATGGCCCTCCTCCCTCCCCGGCAGACAATGGGGATGGGGCAGTAGCAGGATCCCAGCCCCATTTCAAACCCAAAGGGTCTGGGAGGGGAGGGCCACACGGAAGCTCCTCATGTGCTGTGGAACAGGCCGGCCCTTGTGGGGGCCAGGAACCGTGCACTGGGAAGCGTCAGTTTGACTGAGTGAGACCCCTGGCAGTGCCCGGCAGACCAGCTCCCAAGGGTCCGGGAGAGACGCTGGGTTCACCGGTAGGGTTGGACTTCCCCAGGTCACTGGTTAAAGTGACCCTGCTCCGGTTGGAAGAGACGTGACACAGGGGGAGTTTTCTGGAATATTTTTACGCTGCCTGCGTGTGCCTCGGTTTCCCCTTATACGTCGCGTGGTTCCCCAGCGTGGGAAAAGGGCTATGTTTGGTCGCAGGGCAGGATGTGGGGGGGTCACCTCCCTGTGGGGGTGGAATGAAGAGTCGTTAAGGTCGGAACTGGCTGAAACTGACCCAGATCAACAAGGGGGCCAGAGAGCCAGGGCAAGATTTGTTAATTGACTCAGGGGGGGGGGGGGGGGTGGGACTGAAGGGCTGTGAGCTCAGCGTGGCCTGGACTGAGCCGTGCCCAGGACAGGACAGCGATGGCTCCGGGAAGAGACTGGGAGGCCAGAGAGAGCCGAGGTCTGTGACTGGCACAGGGTCAGTCTGGGCAATGCTCTGACCTGCCTCTCCCTGTGCTGACCCGAGGCCTCCGTGGTGACTAACGAGCCCGCCTGGCCTGTGGGACTCGCTGGGCCGAGCTCGCAGGGGGGCGGGAGGCCCAGACTCAGAGGTGGCGAGGCCGCATGGCTGGGCCCAGAAGAGGAGCAGGACCCCTTGGGGGGGGGACTGGCCCCAATCCTGGGAGCCGGGGGTTGGACTCTGGTCCCCAACAGCCGGGGCTATGGATCGCGCTAAGTCAGCAACTCTCCCCAGTGGGCTAGGCGCGGGCTAGTGGCCAGCACATTGCACGGCTCCTCGGCCAGGACACAGAGCAACCCCCTCGCCCCAGGCTCCGGCCTTCGGAAACGAGCGGGCCCCAGAGCCGGGCCCGGCCCGGCCACGACACAGGTGGCAGGACAGCCAGGCAGAGAAGGGGCGGCTGCGAGGTCCAACGTGGGCTGGTTTCCCGTTGCAGGGTGGTTGGGGGGGGGGGGGGGGGGGGGGGGGGGGGGGAGCTGGCGTTCTGGGTACTCTGTACACACAGGCACAGCCAGTTTTGGCTCAGTCTCTGGGAGGAGCCCTTCAGTGGGGCAGACTCCCAAGGGGGCTCGCTTGGCCTCCAGGCTAATCCCCGCAGTCTCATTGCGCCCTGAGGCTGGGCCTTCAGCCCCCCGGGCTCCCCCGCCCCCATGAGCTTCGCTCAGTGAGTCCCACCGTGACAGCCCACGCGGGAGCCGTGCGCCTCTGGGGACCACGCACCCCACCCAGCATCTGCGGTGCCGCTGCCACGGCTGGCAGCAGAGGCGGGTTTAGTCGGTAGCTGGCGCCCGGCCTAGGAGCCCTCAGGGCAGCCCAGAGCCCAGCCAGGCCGCAGGGAGCTTCGGAGTCAGGCTCCGTCTGTCGTTCGTCTGCCCCCAACAGCCAACCTCCATCCCCCACCTCTCCCCCCTTTCCCAGTTAGGCAAAGCCCAGAGGAGTATGGGAACCTGAGCTTGTTAGTGGGAGCGACGCCAGGGAGACGCTGGAGGCAGAGAGAGGAGACCGTGGCAGTTAGCAAGGCCGGGCCCAGTTACACTGCGGCTGGCCTGGCTGTACTGGGGTCACGGGGGTTTTAGTGAGCGGATTTGAGAATTTGGGCTGTTTTGTTAAAATGCGTCTCCAGCGACCGCGCGGGAAGGACGCCGGGGCTGCTGGTAACTCAGTTCCCTGGCAGTGGAAAGAGCCAAGGCAGAGGTGGTGGAAATGTGACTCTGGGGATGGGTCGGTTTCCTGTGCGTTAGCCTAGAAACGGGTTATAGAAAGGAGTTGCCTGGCCCCGTTGGGGAGACCTCCGGAGGACTGGGAGGTTCCAGGATCTTTGGTCGTCGTGTAGACGTAGCGCAAAAGTGCCAATCTGGAAACTAAGTTGGGCTTATTGCATCCTTCACTTTCCTGATTCAATACGAATGGGGAATGTTTACAAACCGAGGGCACACCAGGAAACCGCCACCCTAAGGTGACTTTTTTCTCCCCCCCCCCCCCCCCCCCCAATGAAGTTGAAATGATGCAACTTGTACAAAACCCGCCGGCCTCGCTTAGTACAATAAAGGGAACGGGCCAGCCGGGCCCCGGTGTCAGCGACACCAACGCTACTGCTCCCACCACGGCTGGGTTTGGCGTTCGGGTCTTTAGTGTCCCCACATCTGGTGAGATCCCAGAGGTAGGAACATCTGGAGATGGCCCCGGGAGGGGCGTGGGAGGCCAGCGGCACAGAGTGCCGGCGTTCTCAGCCACATGTCACCGGGGGCACCCGAATGCCAGGGTCCCAGCCGGCAGGCCCTCTGGAGTGAATCATCACCTGGGAATCCAGCCCAGGACAGGCCACCCGGCCTGGGGCTCTCGCCACGGTTCATGTCACACTCTCCCTGCCCCGTCACCCCGTGGAGCGGGTGGGAATGCAGGGGACCAGCCTGACCCCAAGGGGAAGAAGAAACGTGACTAGGCCCAAAGTGCTGCCTGGCGCCCCAGGGAAACGCACTGAGCCCAGCAGTGGCTCACCCCCTTCCAGAGCCGGCGCCAGGCCCTCCAGCAGGGAACCCCCCTAGGTGCCACCAAGGCCAGCCCCAACCCCCCCCAAACTGAGACCCCTCCACGCAAGTGCAGCAACCCGCTCCAGCAGGGGAAGCCGGAGCCCAGCCGGGCCCCATGGGGCAGGGTCGCGGCTGTGCCGAGGCAGCGGAGCCAGGGCACGTGGGTCCCCTCGGCCCGGGCCGTCGGAGCGGGGCTCACTCACCGTTCTCGCCGTAGTGCAGCGGGGGGAGCTCGGGGCCCGGCTCGCCGCCCGGCGGGGCCTGCAGGGAGAGCGCCGCCAGCCCGAGCCAAAGGGCCAGGGGCAGCCGCGCCATGGGCCGAGCGCCCGGGGCCAGGCGCACGGAGCGCGGGGCGAAGGGCGGCCGGATCGGGGCCGGGGGCCGGGCCGGATCGGGTCCCGCCCTGTAACGTTCAGCTGGGGGGAGGGAGCCCCCGGGGGGGGGCAGAGCCAGGCGGCAGCGCGGGGCAGGGCGCAGGGCGCACGGGGATGGGGGGCGCAGGGCGCACGGGGATGGGGGGCCCCGCGCCACCCCCCGCAGCGCAGCCGGGCTCTGCCTTGGCCCGCAGCAGGAGCCGCCCGGGACCGCGCCCGTCCCCGCTGGGGGCACAGCCGGGGCGGCCCGCGGGGGAGCGGAGCTGGTGGGGCGGCGGCGGGGGGAGCAGCAGCCGGGCGCGCTCCGGTCTCCGTGCGCCCCTCGGTGCAAATGCAGCGGCGGGACCTCCCTGCGGGGAAGGGGGCCGGCGCCGGGACCCTCTGGGGGCCGGAGCAAAAACCCGGAGCGGAGCCGGGCGAGAGGCAGCGCGGAAGGGACCCGCTCAGAGCTGGGCAAAGGGGGCGTCTTGCCCGCAACGGGGGCGGGGGACAGCTCGGCCCGGAACGCGACAGAGCCGAGCCCCGGGCCAAGGGCCCGAACCTGCCCGGGCAGGGGCCAGAACCCTGCGGGCCAAGCCCCGGCTCTTGTGAAAACCTGCCCCCTGGTTTCCCTGCTTCGGTTCTGGATGTGAAATGGGAGGGGGGGGGTCACGGATCCCCCGCCCGGTGCTCTGGGCCAGGCCCCGGACCCCTTCAGCCGGTAGCCCCGGCAGGGTCACACGCTCACCTGGCTTCACCGCCTCCTGGGGCCCAATCTCGGCGCCCCAGTCCCCCTGCGTCACGCCGGGAGCTCCCTGCAGCGAGTCCTCCTGGCTTGGACACTGGGGGAGACCCGCACCCCCAAAGGGAGCAGTGGCCCCCCGCACCTGCTGGGACTCAGCCAGCGGGGCCAGGCAGTCGGGTTATTACGTCTGGACACAGCCTGGAAAGTCCTTGGTTAGCCCAGAGAAGGGGAAGTTACTGCCTGGCTCGGCCCCAAGCCCCCTGAGCCTGCCTTAGTCCCAGGCCAGGAGCGTCTCCTCCGTCCAGCAGCCCCCACCTGGCCCCTCCTGCGTTCTCTGTGGGCATCATCACCTGGCCTCCTCCAAGCCCCTGGGTCCCCAACTGGTCACCCGGCTGGCTTCCTGCCAGGGCTTCATGGGCGTTAGTTGCCAGGGGCCAGATGTTCCCTTGGAGTGGCCATTGTCTTCTCGGACTCTCCATAGGGGCCCAGGTCCCAGGCAGGTGGGGTCAGTCACACCTCGGTCTCTGCAGAGAGTCAACAACCTTTTCCCACCACCTACCTACCATACAGCATGTGAGGTTATGGGTGTAATATAATATCTCACTGAAAGGTGACAGGGCCAGAAAGAGTTAATTACCTCCCAGACTGACCTGACCCAGGGCCGAACTTTAGAGACTGGTTAGGAAGATCTGTAAATGAACAGAGCTTTGAAATGCAGCCGGCAGTGTTAGAGATCTCAAGGGTGGGTGTTTGCTCAGGGCTTGTGATGTCAGCAAACAAGTCTTGTCTATTGCTATGGCTTTGATTCAAAGATCAAAAAAGGGAATATTAACATTTAGGAAGACACTGGAGGGAAATAGTATTATTGTCTATGTGTCTCTTTGAAGGTTGTGGTAACCTGTATCTGAACTGTTTAATGGATAAATTACCCTGTGCTAATTGCCAGGATGTTTGGGAGAAGGAGAGTTAAAGCCTATTGTTTTCTCAGGCCAAGAGGCTGCTGGAAATGTATAAAAACCCTGGGACACGATCCTGCTGCATCTCAGATCTGCTTTGGGTTTCAAGAGGGGGAAACCTTAAGCCATAAGGATTGAGATCCCCATGTCACGGACTCACAGATCGTGCCCACTCTTGGCCCCGTGCGGTCCGTGGGGGGTGCCCCTTTTAGTGAGACAGCCCTTCTCGGGAGTCCACTCTCTCTCGGGGTCCGGCCCCTCCACCTCCTGGATCCGCACCTCTCTGAGCCTTAGCACGTCTGTCTCTGCCGTGGGCCCCCTCAGGGAGTCCACTCGCTCTGGACCCCCGGGGCCTCCACCCCCGAAGGGGTTGATGCCACCCTGTTCTCTAGACCGGAGTGACTCTCAGCCAGCATGAAACAGAAGGGTTTATTGAGAGTTGAACACAGCACAGGAACCTCTCTGACCCTCAGGCCTGGCCTCCCTCAGCCCAGCACATCCCAGTCTCTCTGCCTCCCGGTGGGCTCTGCCTGCTCCCAGCTGGGCATCTCCGATCACTGGCCCCAGGCCCCGCCTCTGTCCATTGTCTTCTCTCCAGGTAAACAGGGTCGTAAACCGGGGCCTCTCCCTCTGGCTGGAACCGGCTGGTTAGGTCACTGGGTCCTCACTCTGCAGCCCATTGTCCTCCCACTGGCCAGAACCGGCTGCGTCTCCTCAGCTGGGCCTCTGGGTCACCAGGTCGCCAGGTCACCGGTCGCTGGGGTATCCATCCTCCCGGCCACCGGCTGGGTCCCCGCGTCCTCTCTCCGGTCCTCTGCAAAACACACTCCCTCTCCCCTCACCTCGTTAAACCAGTAACACCCAGGGAAACTGAGTCCCACCCCCTCTGCATGCAAACCATTGAAACCCCACAGAAAACAAGAAACCCCCCACTTCGTCACACCCCAGTCACTGACTGGAGCCACAGTGAATATGGACATTGGACTATACCCTCTGGACTATTTCTAAAAGAACTTTTGGCAACTACAAACTCACCATCTCTGCTAAGTAAGTGGGCCTCAAGAAATTGAATTCAAATCTGTCTGTATATTGATCCTTCAACCAACTCTCTCTCTCTTTTCTTTGTTAATAAATTTTAGTTTAGTTAATAAGAATTGGCTCTAAGGGTGTATTTTGGGTAAGATCTAAGTTATCATTTGACCTGGGTCTGGGGCTTGGTCCTTTGGGATCAGGAGAACCTTTTTTCTTTTACTGGGGTATTGGTTTTCATAACCATTCCTCCCCATAACAAGAGGCCCTGGCGGTGATACTGGGAAACTGGAGTGTCTGAGGGAATTGCTTGTGTGACTTGTGGTTAGCCAGTGGGGTGAGACCAAAGTCCTCGATGTTTGGCTGGTTTGGTGTGCATAGAAACCCCAGCCTGGGGCTGTGACTGCCCTGCTCTGAGCAATTTGTCCTGAATTGATACTCTCAGTTGTGTCCCACCAAAGGCAGCATCGTTACACAGCACATAGGGGAAACTGAGGCACGTACACTATTCATACGAACATTACGGAAAATTCCCACTGTGTCCCAAGGGGTAAGGAAACTCCTCCATTCTTGTCCGTTGAGAGTGTGAGTGATCAGGGCTTGTCTCTCACCATGCACCTGTGCAGGGCCCAGCGTGATGGGGCCCTGATCTTAGCTGGGGCAGGAGCTGTCTCTCGCTATGTGTCTGTGCAGTGCCTGGCACAACAGGGCCCTGATCTCTGGGGCGGGGGCTGTCTCTTGCCGTCTGTGCAGCACCTGGCACAATGGGGCCCTGATCTCAGATCCGGCAGTCACAGGCTTTGGGCTCTTCCCTCCCCCCACCCCTCCCATCCTCCTCTTGGGCAAAAATGTAAGTCAACAAAAACTGAGCAAAAGCCTGGTCACTGTCCTGCCCTGCCCGCCTGGCACAAGCCCAGCCAGAGCCACGCCCTGCTCCCTGGGACCTGCTCATCGGCAAGGGACCGGGATGGGGGGTGGGGAATAGGACAGGGGTGGGCCATGGAGACCTGAACACCCTCCATAGTAGAGAGGAGGGAATTTCCCCACTGGCTGGGCACACCACTCCCTTGAGACCCCCACCAACCTCAGCATCAGTAGGGGACTGAGCCACAAGATAGAGATATAGATGGGGGGGGGTCAGTAGCCACTGCACCCCACTGGTCAGTTCTCTGTGGCTAATCGCCCCCCCCCCCCAGCCCTCTATAGTCACTCCAGCAGTGCAAAAGTTGTTCTGGTGCCATGGCGAGAACAGGGGGCTGGAGGGCAGGTGCTGAGCTGGTATGACTCAGTTTCCCCACCTAGACAATGGGGCTAGCAATGCTGTAACAAAGTGAGGGCAGTCACTGTGCTTGGCCTCGCAGAGCTGCATGAGGACAGTGGGGATATAAATTCCTCATGTCCCCACTGCTCTAACTCTCTCAACTCCCCTCCCCAAGCCAGAACCCAGGTGTCCCTGCCCCGCTAACCCTTCCCGCCTGGCTGTACGCTCCCGAGCGGCTGCACTAACTGTTCCCACCAAAGGCCCCGGGGCTGAGACCTCAACCCAAACTCTACACAAAACCACAGCCTTTAGCAGCACAAGCCTGACCTTAAAAACCTCTAAGGAAGGAGATTCCACCACCTCCCTAGGGAACCCATTCCAGTGCTTCACCACCCTCCTAGTGAAATAGTTTTTCCAAATATCCAACCTAAACCTCCCCCACTGCAACTTGAGACCATTACTCCTTGTTCTGTCATCTGCCACCACTGAGAACAGCCGAGCTCCATCCTCTTTGGAACCCCCTTTCAGGTAGTTGAAAGCAGCTATCAAATCCCCCCTCATTCTTCTCTTCTGCAGACTAAACAATCCCAGTTCCCTCAGCCTCTCCTCGTAAGTCATGTGCTCCAGCCCCCTAATCATTTTTGTTGCCCTCCGCTGGACTCTCTCCAATTTTTCCACATCCTTCTTGTAGTGTGGGGCCCAAAACTGGACACAGTACTCCAGATGAGGCCTCACCAATGTCGAATAGAGGGGAATGATCACGTCCCTCGATCTGCTGGCAATGCTTCTACTTATACAGCCCAAAATGCCGTTAGCCTTCTTGGCAACAAGAGCACACTGTCGACTCATATCCAGCTTCTCGTCCACTGTAACCCCTAGGTCCTTTTCTGCTTCCTAGCTATTCGGTCTCTAGTCTGTAACAGTAAATGGGATTCTTCCGTCCTAAGTGCAGGACTCAGCACTTGTCCTTGTTGACCCTCATCAGATTTCTTTTGGCCCAATCCTCTAATTTGTCTAGGTCCCTCTGTATCCTGTCCCTACCCTCCAGCGTATCTACCACTCCTCCCAGTTTAGTGTCATCTGCAAAATTGCTGAGGGTGCAATTGACGCCATCCTCCAGATCATTAATGAAGATATTGAACAAAACCGGCCCCAGGACCGACCCTTGGGGCACTCCGCTTGATACCGGCTGCCAACTAGACATGGAGCCATTCATCACTACCCGTTGAGCCCGATGATCTAGCCAGCTTTCTATCCACCTTACAGTCCATTCATCCAGCCCATATTTCTTTAACTTGCTGGCAAGAATACTGTAGGAGACCATATCAAAAACTTTGCTAAATTCAAGGAACCCACTGCTTTCCCCTCATCCACAGAGCCAGTTATCTCCTCATAGAAGGCAATTAGGTTAGTCAGGCACGACTTCCCCTTGGTGAATCCATGCTGACTGTTCCTGATCACTTTCCTCTCCTCTAAGTGCTTCAGAATTGATTCCTTGAGGACCTGCTCCATGATTTTTCCAGGGACAGAGGTGAGGCTGACCGGCCTGTAGTTCCCCGGATCCTCCTTCTTCCTTTTTTTAAAGCTGGGCACTACATTAGCCTTTTTCCAGTCATCCGGGATCGCCCCCGTTCGCCAGGAGTTTTCAAAGATAAGGGCCAATGGCTCTGCAATCACATCCGCCAACTCCGTTGCCACACCCCTGCTCTGTCCCCCTTTCTTGAGAATCTTGCCCCCAGACGTGATTTGGGATCCCCTACGGTGCCTCTTCTGATGGGTCTCGTGGAAGCCCAAACGCCACATTTCTCAGCGCTCTTTGCCCAGCCCAGCCCACTCATGGCCCGCTCAGCT